CTGAGTGGGTGAGGGGTCAAAATAAACATACAGTAATAGTTACACGCTGTTATATTTAAAACAATCAACGTTTGCTTAGAGCGTTAAACGGTGGATTTGAAATTTTACTATTTAAAAAAAAAAACGCATAATTTTCCGATTAAAAAAAATTTGATTTGCTTTGAACGTCAGTGATTGTTTTCCATAAGTATCAGTCCTATTTCCTTTTTTATCATTTCATTGAGCAAGATGTAATCCACCGCCGGCTTGCTATGCCTTCTTGGTTTGTGGGAGTAATTAATCAAAAAAAAAATATATCATCCTACCTGGCAGTTTGGTAATATTCACTGTTCTTTTAAGGATGCATTTTTTCGTTATTTGAAGCCCCACCCTGACTCTTGCCGCAATATAGCCAGGCAATAAATGTGGCCTAATGGCTGAACGCGGTTTCTGGGACCTCTCCATGGTGATCCTCATCCACATGTTGGCACATTGTGTCATCGGGTGTTTATCGCTTGTGTGCTGTCCTGGTTGGGTAAAAGTCAGTCAGTCAGTCATCCTACCTGGCTAGCAGAGCCCCGTTATCCTGAGACGTTATGGCCGCAGGTTTTCGGTGTGCACCACTTGGAGGTGGGGTTAGCTTGGGTGTCCTATGAATCGCTGTTAGAATGCCATGCGGAAAGTGCCTTTTGAAAATAATGTTATGTGGAAAGTGAGACGTGTAAAGAATGCCATGTGGAAAGTGTAAAAATAATGCCATGTGATAAGTGCTTAGTAAAAAAAATTATATGTGCAAAGTGTCTTGTGAAAAGAATGCTGTGTGGAAAGTAAGCCTTATGTAAAGAATGCGATGTAGAAAGTGCTTTGTGAAAAGAATGCCATGTGGAAAGTGCTTTGTGGAAAGAATGCCATGGGAAAAGTTCCATGTGGAGAGAATGCCATGTGGAAAGCGCCTTGCGAAAAGAATGCCATGTGGAAAGTGCCTTGTGAAAAGAATGCCATGTGGAAAGTGCCTTGTGAAAAAGAATGCCATGTGGAAAGTTCCATATGGAAAGAATGTCATGTGGAAAGTTTCATGTGGAAAAAAAAGCTATGTGGAAAGTGCCGTGTGGAAAGAATGCTATATAGAAAGTACCTTGTGGAAATAATTTTATGTGGAAAGTGTTATGTGAAGAGAAAGCTATGTGAAAAGTATTATGTGGAAAGAGCACCGTGTGGAAATATTGCTATGTGGAATGAGTGTCTTGTGGAAAGAACTTCCTGGAATGATTATGATTTGAAACAGCACCATGCGATAGCAAACTGTCAGCAGGCTCTCATCGGGTGTTATAGCTTAGGCAGAATACATAAAACAATGAAACGATAGACAATAAACTATTTAGTTGTAAGATAGGTTCAATGAAGAACATGCTCCTGTTTAATGCGAACTGTTTAACCTTTGAGGACCCTAGTCTGGAGCCACATGAACAATTTACAAATTGGTTATGATTCGTGCAGACAGCATGATCCTTTGTCCTGCATACATCCTATTCTTAAGTCATGCTGACAAAACATTCAAAATCAATGGAGAGAAGACACCCTTTTATGATTCATATAGGCAACCCACTTATGTCTTTCAGGTATACTATCTATAAGTCATACAGACTTCGTAATCATCAAGACAACTAATTCATGAGACACATGGACAACTCGTCCAAGAATCATGCATACAACCCATTTATAAGTCATACAGACAACCCATTCGTGAGTCATACATACAATCCTATTCATGAGTCAGGGAGACAACTCATTTATGATGTCGACGACCCATTTATGAGTCATGTTTACGACCCATTTATGAGGCATGAATACAACCCATGTATAAGTCATATAGACAAACCATTTATGAGTCATGTAGGCAGCCCATTCATGAGTCATTTAGAAAACCCACCTGTGAGTCATTCAGATAACTACGCCAACGCCAAGCACTCAGTTAATATCAAGCCTTACTTTGCAATGTTGACAAGAAATTATTAATATAGTTTTACAAAAACGCCAACACAACTAAAGGAATGCAAGGTCTTGCTTACAGAAACAACAAACGCAGTTAAAACCATTGTTGTCGACAGTAAATTGCTTCACGCGCGAATACAAAGAAGAGATAGTGTATTGTCTGTAAATAAAAGAAAGATAATATAAAATGCTTAACAACTGTCTACACTTTTGGAACGGCGTGGATAAGAATCGTGTTGATGGGTCTTCATAAAGTGAGATGCGATGATTGTGCATTAGAAGGTGATAAATGAGGCCGATGCAGTGCTATTTCAGCAATCGAAAAGCTACCTTCACAAATTGTATTTCAACGTGTAAGATTTACTCGAATTCTTTGTTGGGTCAAAGGTCGAGAAACGACACGATTCTTTCTTCAGTGAGATCATTCTACAGCAGTGGTTTTCAACATACACCTTGCAGAGCCCTAAGAGTCCAGTACTAACGGTCAAACTCAATGTGCAATGATTAGAGGAAGAAAACATTGGTAATACACATACCAGAGGAGAGTTTTGCTACACTAGCTCATAGCCTGTCTACGTATGCGACCTCGATAGCCGTTACACCATAAAGAAAAGCATAAAGTACTTAGATCCATCTTGAGCAGCAAATTGTAGTGTTATGTGTAGACAGTAAAGAATCTGCAAGCGGTCTTGGCGATCTCCTTGCGGTTTGCCTGACTGCCTGGGAATCCTTTCTCTTGATTTAGTTTGATTTGGACGCCACTAGGTATATCATGAGGGCTAGATGACCACTCCAGTGAACCAACTTACACTGTTTTCTCAATCCATCTAGTTTAACTTTTAGTCAGTAATCCTCAGGGTGCCATAGCATTCATCGGGGAAAACTTCTGGTCTAGAATGAAATCCGAGAAGAGAAAATCTTCTCGTCTGTTGACATTTGATCAAACGAAGCATTCTAGTGAAACTAATATGTTGAAATTTAATTTTCTTTGGAAGCTTTGAGGCAGTATAACAAGTAAATTGCTTGTTTCTGCCCTAAACATCTACGTCAACTCCTCTGCATACATTTTGTGTAGCAATACATCATCATGTGCCGTGCCTATTAGCGTAACAAATCATAATTCACTACCTCATGCAATCGGCAGCTCCATGCATGCAAAAGGGGGGGGGGGGTAGCAAGGGTAAAAAATATTTGCACTGCCCCCCCCCCCCCACCCCACCCCTCAAGTCGATTAATTATGAGTGTTTTCTTTGGCTTCGGAGTGCATCTGCCTGAGATGCAAGCAACCAACATTCTGCTTAAATAGCATGGGAGTTCTGATACTCCTGCACACCCGCCCTATCCTCGCCAACCCTCCCTTCAACAATCTTCTCCGAGGATTTAACGTCAATAGCACACGAGTTTTCACACTCTTGCGCACAGCCTTGCTGTGACAATACGCTCGGTGACTCCAGAATGTCTTTCCTCAACCTACTTTTATTTCTTTGTATTTTGAAAGTATGCAGAAAAATAGGGATTTGGATACATCCTTACAGAAGAAAGACGACCTGAACAAACATTTAATTCTCCGGGACTGTTGGTCATATCAAACACTAAGACACTTTCCCAGATGTTAAGTGTTAACGTACAGAGATAAGACTGACCAAGCAGACTTACTGACTGGAGATTTGCACACCATTTGTTGGTGTCAGATATTTATCTCCTAGCCAGACCTTCAGGAACAGATAACAAGGGCTAATTGCCATTATCTCCCCCTGAGGTTGCCTAAACTGGAGTGCCGGTCAGATCGTCAATATTGACACAGTGAGCTGAAAGTGTTGGCAGAAGAATTGACAAAGTCGGATTTTATTGTGATGACAGGTGAAGTAGACTGGAGGTGTGACTTGGCCTATTAGCTTTGACCAGCTTAATTGAACCTGTAGAAGGTGACCGTGGGAATTTAAACAAGTGTTGTACAGCCCTGACTGACAGCGAATAAACTTACCCACAGGGGAGGAGCTGTGACATCCTTGAATGAGAATGATTTTAGGCGTAATGTAGGAGGAGCTTAATAAAAGTTATAAAGTGGTGAACTCTAGGTCTGGGAAATGAGACGCTGTCAAGCACATGCCATCTGTTGGGCTTAACCTAAGCTTGAGACAGAACTTTTGGCATAATGGTTTCATTTTCCAGTTCCCACATTGGGCAGGGACTAGTAGGCATCCATTATTTGCCGACCGTCGAGTGTAACGACCTGCAGAAAGCAGTGAGGACGACAAACTGGAAAAGATAGGCAGGGTCTCAAGCCGAGAACTGTCCTGACGAGCTAAGTTATGTACAACTTTCATGTCATCTATAGCATCATTTCAACTCTACTAGCCTAAACAAGTTCATTTTATTTCGGTTAGATTTATTAAATAAATTTTGTTTATGTTGTTACAAAATAGTTGAGTAAATTGTGTACTTAGGTTCAAGTGTCTTGGTGCATATTAGTTTACTTCAGCTAACAAATATTTAAATCACTTGATGGGGCTTTTAAGCAATGCCAGGAGAGGAGAACAGTCGGAGGGGTTAACTGAGCACCTGGATTATATCACAGTGGGTGTATCCAGATATCTATCTATCCCTTCTCCTACTCCTGTGGATACAAGTACAACAACTTTCATTTCATGGAACGAGCCACTCGCTGTTTTCTTGGCTATCCAGGACTGTCTAAGATCAACATAGCTTAGATAATAGTCCAGTTTCTCACGTGGGTGGGTATTGTTAAGGTTCAAACCCACACCCTCACTATATCAGTGTATTTACCCACGTGGGAGCGCGACACTTGCCCTCGCCGCCTCCTCAACCATCTTTCACCAGCACTAGAGTTCATTAGCACGGGAGTTATGATACTCTTGCATACAGCCATGCCCTTGGTACCCCCTCAACAATCATCCATCAGCATTAGAGTTATATAGCACGGGAGTTATCATACTCTTGCACACAGCCCTGCCCTCGCTACCCCCTCAACAATCATCAATCAGCATTAGAGTTATATAGCACGGGAG